TGGTACAGGTTCATCTTCCTCAGTTACTCCTATAGGAAGCACAAAAGCCAAAATCACATGACAGGCCTTGAACTTTAGGGCCTTACAGCTTGCCCTAGGACAATGCAATCTGTTTCAAATTTCCAGGGTGTCATCAGCTGAGAGCTGCTCTCTAACCCAGAAAATTTTGTGTCTCTAGCTCCTATTTTCTAGGAATTATGGACCATCCATCACTTGTATTAATTAAAAAGTCCTGACCTTTTGACATTTGGAGGGCCTGTTGAGCCCTTAGGAACCTCCCAAAGGGTTCAACTCACAAGGTGTAATCAGCATGTCTCCAGTTATATCCCCTGAAAGTTTTGTGGTCCTGGTTACTTACTGTCAGAAGTTACAGTGCGTTCATTAGAAATGTGTTATATGTGGAACATTGAGTTCAAAACTCAAACCAGAAGCTCCAGTGAGACAACGTGCCAATCCTTGACACTTTCTGAGTGCTTTCAGTCTCGAACCACAGTTTTTGATGCAGTTGCATTCTTTTATTATATTTTTTGGTTCAAATTTGCAGTTTCCCGCCAAAATGCTCATGTGACATTTTGACACTTTAGGAACCACCTACAAGATCTAAATTCACAGCTTAGGTTCAGCCTGGTAGAAAGTACTGGATTTTAAAGTTTGGTGTCACTAACTTGTTTCAGTGTGGAATTGTGGGTAATGATGTACAAGGCAAATATGGGTGTTTTGTTAGGTCACTAAACAAGGTCGTAGAAGTGCCAAAATCACAGAGTCCCACTAGCCTGAGGCCCTGATCAAGCCCACAAGGATTTTTTGACCTGGCATGTTCCAGATAGGAATTCTGGGTAGTGGTCCGCTGGACAATGAGGGTACTCGTTACCCACCTGAACAATCAATCAATCAATCAATCAATCAAACTTTATTTATAGAGCCCTTTCCAGCAGCCAAAAGGTGCACAAAGTGCTGCACAGTACAGAAGTTAAAAACAAACAAGAATAAAAAATCAGTCAGTTAAAAACAAAAACAATTACAATTAAAACATAGCAAAATTGTCAAAGACCTACTAGGTATTAAAAGCCTGCCTGAATAAAAAGGTTTTAAGATTAGATTTAAAATGCTCCATGTCAGTGATGGTGCACAAGTCCTGAGGTAGCTGGTTCCAGAGTCTGGGTGCGACAACCAAAAAGGCCCGGTCACCCCATCGTTTGTAGTTGGATTTTGGGACAGAAAGTAGAAATGTATTAGAAGATCTCAGTGTTCTCCTATATTCACGGACAGCTACAAGATTAGACAAATATAGTGGGCAAGACCATTGAGAGCTTTAAAAGTGAATAACAAAATTTTAAATTTTATTCTAAAATTGACTGGAAGCCAGTGGAGAGAAAATAAAACAGGGGTGATGTGCTCACGTCTGGAGGTGTTGGTTAAAAGTCGAGCTGCAGCATTTTGGACCAATTGCAGGCGTCTAATGGAGGATTGGGAGATTCCTGCATATAGGGAATTGTAGTAGTCGAGCCTTGAAGTTATAAAAGCATGGATGGCCTTTTCCAAGTCAGAACGATTTAAAAAAGGCTTAACTTTGGATAAAAGACGTAACTGATAAAAACAGGCCTTGACTACAGAGGATATTTGTTTGTCAAACTTTTAAGTCTTTATCAATTGTCACTCCCAAGTTTTTAACTGTGGATCTGAACTTGGATGTCAGAGCACCAAAGTTACAGGGAGCATCATCACCAAAGAAAATGCATTCTGTCTTTCCTTCGTTTAAAAACAAAAAATTAAGATGAAGCCACTGTTTAATGTTGGAAGTACAATCAACGAAAGGTGTGAGAAGGTTACTGTTTTTAGGTTTCATTGGTAAATAAATTTGTACATCATCAGCATAGCAGTGAAAAGAAAAATTATGTTTGGCTATCACTGATCCAAGGGGCAGCATGTACAATGTGAAGAGGACAGGACCAAGAATAGAACCCTGTGGCACACCACAAGAGAGAGGGGCAGTGGAGGAAGACAGATTATTCAGCATGACAGAGAACGTTCTGTTGGTCAAATAAGCAGTGAACCACTTGAGAGCTGTACCAGAAATTCCAACATAATGTTGGAGACGAGACAACAGGACAGCGTGGTCCACTGTATCAAACGCAGCTGTAAGGTCCAGCAGCACCAGAGCAACGGGACACTTGACATCCATGGACATGGAAATGTCATTATGGACTTTTAACAGGGCTGATTCAGTAGAATGACGGGTTCTAAATCCAGACTGAAATGTTTCATAGATACCATGGTTTTCTAAAACAGGTTGTAACTGCATAAAAACAACTTTTTCTAAGACTTTAGCTAAAAAAGGCAAATGCGAAATATGTCTAAAATTTGATAAAAGTGATGGGTCTAGGTGAGGTTTTTTAGGAAGGGCCTAACCACAGCATGTTTAAATGCAGCAGGGACAATTCCTAGACAAAGGCAGGAGTTTAAAAATGTTAAAATACAGAAACCCACAGAATTAAAAACCTCTTTCAAGAACTTGGAGGGAAGAACGTCCAGTGGGCAATTAGTGAGCTTCATGTATTGAACAACATCAGTGAGAGTGGCAAGGGACACTGGTTGAAAGTGTTCAAACACGACTGGAGCTACAGAGGCAACAGAGGAGTCAGGAGCAACAGCACTAGTGACCTGTCTGACTGAGGCCACTATCATGGAAGAATTTTAGAAAGTTTTCACAGTTAGTGGCTGTGGCATCTGGTGAACAAGGTCGTTGGAGAACCAAACTCACAGATCCCGATCAGTATGATGCCCTGACTGGGTTCTGTGTGCTTTTTGTCCCTCTTCCATTCACGCTATGAATTATGGGTAATTGTCTTTTTTTATGGGGTCAGAGTTCCCCCCCTAAACAGAGCCATAGGGACATGAAACTCACAGAGTGTCATTGGCTTGAGGCCACAACCTAGCACAGAAAGTTTTGTGTCTCTACACTTTTACCCTAGGTTTTCTGGGTACAGTGAACCCTCGCTATAATGTGGTTCACCTTTCACTGTCTCGCTGCTTCACGGATTTGTATTGTGCATTGTGTTCTACATTCTGATTGGTTAAACAGTCTCTCCAATACAGTAGATATTTGTAAAAAAAAACATTTATACAGTACTTTTATTTGTTAAACAAATGCGTGGGCCTGTAAAAAGGTTTTGTTCTTTGGTTTGAATGTATTATGGAGTATTTCATTGTATAATAATTGTAAAAAAAAATATAGGTTACTACTTCACGTATTTCGCCTATCACGGGTTCTTTTTGGAATATAACCCCAGTGAAAAACGAGGGTTCACTGTACTTGTATTTTGAACAAAACAGGAGTAAAAACCTCTTCCTTTAACACTTTAAACAAGGTCAGATTGGAACCGGACCAATGCATACAAATCATGCAAAGCCCCACAATAACATATCCAAAGACGGTCAGTCTGGACCTAGTAGAAAAAAGGTGTCCCCAGAGGCCCAATTTTTCCTTTAAAGTGGTCTATGTGTCTTAGACACTTAGGGTGCATTCACATCAGCCCTGTTTAGTCTGCTTTAATCGAACTCTATCTTGTTTTCCTAGAAAGTCCAGTTCGTTTAGGGAAGTGTGAACGCGCCATGGAACTCTGTTACGGAACAAAAAGGCGAACTCTGGCCCGGGCTAAAACCTAGGTCTCGGTCCGGTAGAAGAGAACTCCAGCATGGTTTGAGTGTAGTGTGAATGTAAACAGACCAGGACCCGCTCCGCAGGGCAAACAAACACACATTTATCTGACCTTATATGGAGCTGTCAGCTGCCTTGTGTGGAAAAACAATATTCTCCATGGTCTTCTGTCTCATCTTCTGCTCATGCTAAGTCCATTTTTGGAAAATGACAAAATATAACTCCTAAAACTGCTAAAACTTGATGCCACTTCATTTTTGTTTTTATTTACAAAAGAAGAAGTGTCTTCAGAGGTTTTTGTGTCATTTCTTTCAGTAGTTCTAGGTGTAGTGCCCCCACAGGCGAGCGGGGGAATAGGTTGGTTCAACAAGTTGACTCGACTGCACAGT